CCTCGTTCGACTAAAATTTTTGTTTCGATACGTCTGCTAGCTACATTGTATTGAATAAATTCTTTAATAAAGTCACATCGTCCAAAGTCTCTTTCGAGATATAATATCCCTCCCTTTAGTAAAAAAATCCATGTCAAGATTTATCAAAGTTTAGTTTGTAGCATTGTTATCGCTTTATTCGGATTGCGATTGGCTGTCGATGTCGTCAGTCGACGAATATGATCGTTTAGTTTTTAAAAAATAGTCCTATCGTTATAGATGATAGTGATTCGTTGCGGATGAAAATTTTTGGTTGAGAAAAATATTCATCGTTTAAAAAAATGATATGTCGGTTAACGAACAGTCTGGTTAATATAATATAATAAAATAATAATAGATAGATAATAATATCGGTTTTGAAATAAAATGATTGATTTTGCAAACCGTTGTTGCGGCTGATGAGAGACAGATCGGTTTAGACAAAGAGTATTTTATCAGTGAAAATCGAAATTGGTTTAGAAATAATGTTGAGTAATTATACAAAATTTTTTTAATTTAAATTTAGATTGTATCAATGTTTGGTTAGTTTTAGAAAGACGCTCGTGTAAATTTGTTGCTCGGTACGTAAATTATGTTTTTCAAGAATGGATATGCAGTATTATACGGTATTTGTTCGGAGCCCTGCTCTTCTGTCGCGCGCGTATTTCTCTAGTGCGTTTATAAAATCTTGATAAAATTTACAGTCAAGTGAGAAAGACGAATATGGATATGGATGAGAAAATATTACGAATTTATCCGTCAGATGAAAATTGCCTCGTCGAAACTCTTTATCAGACGGTATATCAAGCAAGTAAACAGGTGTAAGTATCTATCTGCAGAGACTCTGACGAAATGGGAAGAGCGTTGTGGTACTGATACTAGCACGGAAGAAAAAGTCCGTGAGAAATTGTATGAAGCTCAGGTAGGTCGGTTGGTATCCAATTTCCTGAGATACCTTCATCGGACAGGTTTCTCGTACACGTCAACCGCTGGACAGTTGGCGAGTAGAAGGAATTTTCGAAGAATTGCTTTCCGATAAAACGAAACACTTTTATACCTATACGTTGCTATACGAAACTTCCAGTGCAATAAAAAGTCTTTGACAGATAATCCCGAGCAAATTGTTCAATCAGTTTTATATAGTTTCGTTTGGATCGATATTGATACAATTTGGCGATTATTTGGTTGCGCCACGTTTTTCCTTTTAATACTTAAATTATTAATCATTCTGTATATTATTTACTCACAGGTTATAAAATATAATCCAGTCTTCCTCTCTAGTGTCTAATTAATAGTTTGTACGTGGCTCGAGTATTCGGACAATACTGCGTTGCCTCCTGCGGGCATAAATCATTAACATTTGTAGGTACACGTTGGAGATATACATCCGGTATATATTGTTAGGGAATAATTGGAATCAAAATTCCGGAAATACATTCAACGAATTTCTGATATATCCAAAATGTCATTAATATATCTAAAATTTTAGAAAATTAGTATAACGTGTCTTCGTGTATACAAATTTTTTAAATTACCTGTTAGATATCGTTAGAAAATAGAATTTGCTATGCCTATTTGGCGAAACGGTCTAATCGTCACGTAGAACCATATATTTTATCTGGAAATTTCGAGAAAGGGGGAAAGTTCGAAAATCTTGCGAGAAATCAGAGAAATAGTGTAAGACACAGAAATGGAAGGCGGAAAGCCAGATTCGTCGGGGTGATGAAGTTCAAGATAGTACAGACACTGCCAAAACTCGTACGATTAATTCAAAATTGTGCGACACCACAATGGCGTAATATACCTAGGAGATATCTGAATCTCACCAACAATGAGTCACCCTGGAACGTTGGGAGTGAATGAAGATTTGGATGAGCCTGTATAGATAAAGGGATGGTCTGTTACGGTAAAGGGATTACTTTGAGGACTATCCCCCTTTAACTTCCGGTATTGTCTCATTGATATGTTAATTAACATTATTGACAAGAACGCCCTACCGTATCAGGAACATTAAGATCCTATATCCGTAAAACGAGTACGATTTTTTATTTTCGTCTAAACTTAATTTTATACTATAATGAGACACGTAAGAACTAGCTACCTTTCTCGCAGTGAGTACGAACAAAGAATTCGAATTTCAAATAACGATACTCAGCCTTCAATATTCGTAGAATTTAAGTGACCGAACGGCTACGGTTAAATGCTGTAATACACGAATGGATGACTTATTTACGTAAAAGCAAAATTAATTTATTTAAAAAACACGAAAGGGGATGCTTGAAAATTTTTCTGCGAGCCTTTGCCACAGAGAATGATCCCGAAGGTTGGAATTGGATTTTTGAGGAATGGTAAAGAAGAGTCAAGGTATACACGTATAATCCTAGAGCCACAGCAACGAGTACAGAAGGGATAGCAGGGGGTGTAAAGGGGATGGAATAAGGTAAGAGAAGAAAACGCGAGGGTGGAACTTAGGTATATGGAGAAATTCCAACCCCTATAAACCTTCCACGGTAGACTCGTAATGATTCGTATCAAGGATTAGCCAACCAGCTGGGCACTATATAGGTATAGGTAACAACCAACTAATTTCGAAGTTGGATGCTTTATAACAATAAAAAGGGAATAATAAGCATAAATTCAAAGCCATTACAGAAGAGGTGAGAATAAATGGTTCTAATTGACGTCTATTCGCCAAGGGGTCGCGGCGCATCATTTTTGCTTCATGAAATAATAATAATATTATAACAATAACTACGAAAATGCCCACGAAAACAATAATCAACCGACTGAAAGCATCAATTAATTAATATAAAAGTTTAACAAACTAATTTGAATTTTCAACGCCTTCCTGCGCCTCTCCATTCAGACGCTTTTCTTTCAGGTTGTATGGACGCTTCCTCATCCTCCTCCCACAACCCCCCCTTTTTACTTGAGGAATGCTCCATGTTCGAAACAGGTCACGTACTGGTTCGCGTTCGCCACTACGTCCGTTCGTAACCGAAGAAATTTCTCTTCTCTAATACGAAACGTAGCTGCGCGATTCCTATCAATTTCCCAGCTTTCCGAATTGCCTTGGGGAAAGGTTGAAAGAAAGAAAGCGAATGGGCTTACACGTACAAAAGAAAAAACGTGAAACAAAAAATCATCAGTACTACAGTAAAATATGGAAGGATAATACTTCCCAATTTGAACTGGCAACGGCAGTTGCAGAGCGTCAAAAATGTATAATTGAAAACTAGTGAATATGGTGAATGTAGCCTGAGGGTTTGCGATATAATATATTGTACCTCTCTTCGTGTACAGTTATATATACTGCATATAAGGTAGCATGCAAATGGATGTGAATTATTTCATTTTCTCGCTAATCCATGTGAATATTACAGTAAAAAGAAATGCAAGAGCGAGTATGGCATTTTGTAATATTTACCAGTTTATTAATTTCATAGGGAATTCGTATTCCTTCCCGTAGAACGTAATCAGGAATTATCATGTTGTTATATGTTGTTGTCATGCTGTGTATATGCTTTTAACGAATATATATTAACCAAAGTTATACATATATTATTTGATATATACGTTCAAGTAGAATTTCACTGACCGATGAATATCTATATACGTTTAGAACGAAATAATTATGACCCGTTCGTCACTCGGCAAAGTGTTGGTGCATGGACTAAATTTTTACCACGTTCCACTCCGAGTGATAACCACGCGAATCTCATGGGTGCGATCGAGCGGCCATTTTTCTCGTCGTTTTTCCTCCGGGAACGACCAGCGGCTAGTGGAGAACAACTAAAGAGTTTGCAAAACGAAAAGGTAGAATAAGTGAAAATGTGAAACGTAATTTAGGGGCTTAAAGTGAAAATTTCACGTTAAAAGCATCATTGAACGCGACCAAGCATATCTAGTGGATTTATCATAGGGAAAAAAAAAATTCGTATATTTTGGAATATAATGATAATATTTCGAACGTCATATACGGTATTACCTACTTGATGCCATTTACACAGTATTCTGGTCTAATTGAATTGAGATCGTTCGTTCATTGCGTATTACAGGTAAATTACGTAAGCATACCCCAAATTCTATCCACCCTTACATATAGACTCCTAATACACCCTTATATACTTAAGCCCACGCAATAGCTCACAATAAGCTCACGGAACGGAAACGCGGAGCACCGAAACTAGAAGATGAGTCCTTTGAAGTCATCCGTAATCAATGAAGCAATCCTTGAAAATCTTCCTGATGGGTTTTCCATTTGGAAAACTTGAGTGTAAGACACCCTTCCTACTACAGAAGGGTATTTCGGTGCTCTATTAAACAAAAAAAAAGGTTGTAAAAAAGTGACATATTCGTATTCTCAGGGTGACTCGGTCCATGCGAGATAAGAGAAGGTGAGAAATAAAGGGTCGAAGTGGCAACGCTAAAGTGAGGGATGCTGTGGAAAAACATAAAGGAAAAAATATACAAGTATAATGCGTACGTCCATAGGATGAAATAGAATTTTATACGGCACCCCTTATGTATTGCCGTTAGGGTATATAGTCAGGGAATATAGTAGAGGAGGCAGAAGACAGTAGGTAGAAAGCTGATTCGCAGTCCTTGCGAATAGGCAGGTCTGGCTTACAATCCTTCGCCCAGAATTCATAGGTACACAAGAGGGAAAGCCTCGTGTCGAATCCATACGGCCTTATCCAATCGTATCCTAAATGGCTTCTCAAACGAATTAAGATCGACTGGTCCGCCTTAATTCCACGCTTCACTGCCTTTCGCCCCACCTGCCCCACCTTACTAGGCATTACCAGAATCCAGATTTCCGGGCAACCGAAATACATGGGAAAATTGCTATACCCAACGGGATCGGAGTAAACTTATTAGTCCCTGGAGTGAGCGAAGGGGTAGGCTCTTCTGGCTTCTGTGAACCAGTGTTAATACTATCCCCCCTGACTATCCAGACCTGAGCTATCTTTTTGTTCCAGGTGCGAGGGCGGTTGGCTCGAACTGGAGGGTGGAGCACGAGTCTGCGGACGGAACGAACGATTCGATCGACCTGTGGTGCTTTTCTCGGACAAATCGGTCGCCATCTTGCACATGCAGTGAGTACTCGCCCAATGTATATTTTATAGTATCGCTTTTTTTGTAACACTCTCATGAAGTTTGGATTTATTTGTATAAAATTTTGCTCTCTTTCTTGCCCTTTGTGGACGTCAAGAGTTATTCCGTGCACAAAATAAATTCGCATTATAATTGCTAATTATATACAGTTGAAACGGAGAGGTACAGGTGGACGTCACAATAATATGCATTTCACATTCATCCATTATGAAGTAAGAACATGTTCCGAGCTGAGTGCTCCTAGCTCTAAATTTCGTAGCGATTTTTAAAAAGGCTTACTACGTACGGATATGTATAAAGTGGATTGCGGTAGTCACTTGGTAACGAAATGATCAACAATCGACTTTCACGTAATTACACAGAAATCGGGAAAATATTTTATTTATGTTCAAAGACAGATCTTGGACTAGTTCTATTACCACCTTACTTTACTTCCCTAAAATCCACTTCTCTTCGCGAATCTAGTAATTTTCTTTGACTATTTCCATTTTTTTTTTCACTTTCGTCAAAAGTCTCATGAACTCGTAACGAGAAAACATCCCCCGAAGGCAGAGTGACAAACATGGAATTTCAAAGGTCTGAGCGTAGGTAAAAATCTGAATAATTGATTGCTATATTTTCCCAGAGTAAGTAAACCGTCAATTCTGAGCTGAGGAAAAGTGCCGAGAGTAATGTGGCTCTTGGTCGCGGCGACCTCAGTCGCGTTCATTATTTATGTTTCTTAATTGGGTCGCGGAGAGGAAACGCGGCCGAAACCTCGTCCAGCTTAAGTTGCTTAGTTACATGGCTTATATCAAATATTTATGAAGAACCTTGTCTCTGAGGTCAATATATGATCTCGCCAAGTGAACTTCCCAGTTATCTTCCGAAAAAACTGAGAAGTACGTTAATCCGAGCGACAAATTTTTATTTTACCAATAACACTTACCACCCCTGCTTAAATTACTTATACCACGAAATTTGTTAACTAGGATTTTTCACTATATAAAATTTGTACTCATTCGATGTATATGCTTTGCAGATAAAATTATCTTTGAAACAAAATAATCTTTATCGACACAACCTAAATGTATTTGCGGCATGAAATACTGTTAGGTTTATTATGAATTATTTGGCTGATGACAATGACGAAATTCGTATACGATTAAAATTGCTCTGGGGTAGTGTATACAGTAGGGAGGTACTGGGAGCGAAGTATAATTAGCACGATTGCGTTTATTTAGCGTTTTATTTGAACGCTTTCGAATGCGAATAATCATCGCGTGTTTGGCACATTGTCAGCCATCGGAATTGTAACCGCGACTGGGAGGAGAGCGGTAATAAAGTTGAGTGGTATGAGAATGGTTGGAAAAATCTTTAAGGGTAGCACTCGAGGAAGTGTTTTTCTGCCAGTAATGGATTCCATTGATATCTTGTAAAGGAACAACGCATCGATCAACTTTTCCCTTGAAAGAGTTACGGGAAGCCTCCGACTCCCGTAACCCTTGCCAAAACCCGCAGACCGATAGCCTAACCCCTTAGACCCTGAAAGACGTCGCTCGAATACGAAATTTTAAGTCCATTCGAATCCGAACTAAGGGCGGCGAAATGAATAGGAAAAAGAAAAGCCCGAGGGTGGCTCAAAAGCCACGATAGGATTCCATTGGTCGAGTAACGTCCACAAGCGTCGGTAATAATGTCACCCTTTTTCATTCATTTATTACCCATGCTTGCAAGAGATTCCAAATCAGTAGGAAAAGTACTTTTTGGAATGAAAGGAAAATTTGAGTCTCTGAGAGAAATAGAAAATTTTTTATCGTGCTAACAAATAAATGATTTAGTGAACATACGCGGTTACGTATACAGGGGTTGATTGAGATTATAAAAAAAATTCATATTGCATCGTTATTGGTCACCCGTACGCGTCACACGTTATGCTTCGACAATTTACGATTAGAGGGTGGTTTAGTAGGGTTGTGGAGGCTGTGGGACGATAAAATTTATATAAGTTGAGAAGTTGAGTGTAATGTGGCAAAGCGGCAGCGCGCGACTGGCATAAATGTGTCGGGGGATGATATACGACCTACGACCCTTGGCTTGTCCATGGGAACCCAGGATTTTCAGAAAAACAGTGGAAAGTTCAACAGCCATAACCACCCCTGTTGTTCCTTGGACGACAGTTCTCTGTGGACTAATAGTTACTAATATTTTATGTGTTTAGGGTGACCAGCAGTTTCTTTGATTCACTAAATGCTACCAGATTTATCTCGTTTGAATTTAGTGCAGTCAATGGTATACTATTACACAGGTACTCATGCCTGAGAAATAATTTCCATCATAACAATGGAATCCGATATGAGTTTTCCTACTTAGGAAAAGCATAACGTGCGAACTTTAGCACGGAAAATCGCAATTACCGTAACGATTTAGAAATTTTCCGACTGTACCCCATAGCTTAGATCTCTATGTAATAAAATAATAGGAGTGATAAGAAAAATAGGAAATTACTGTAGTACATATATTATTTTAATTTGCGGTATGTCGAATTTTTACTCATTTTCATATTGGCATATATCAATCAGAAAATGTGCTATTCTATAGTATTTGATGTTCTCCTCTGTAATAAATAAAGGCTTGACTTCGTTTAGGCTAGAAAGAAATCGAATAAATTCGTAAAAGTTCTTAATAAATCGTGTGGAATTTCGCGCTTCTCTTTTGCGAACTTCTCCAAGGACAATTTTCCTCCTAGTTGGCGCTTTGCCCTCCCGAAACAAAGCGTCGTCAATTGTTATCGGGGTCAGAACTGAGGAAATATTTGAGCAATTCCATAGAACTTGCTGAACTTAAAGGCTCCTTTCTATCGAGACTAATGGAGGTTTATTTCTAGGTGATACATATTATAGGCAGCATTGCTGAAACATTGATTTTAGCACTTTGCGTAATTAAAATTTTCGAAATATTTTCATTTGGCTGATTTATAAAAATGTCATATCCGGTTGATTTTTAAAATGTCACAATAGACGCTACATTTGTATATGCGTGTTTGTGCTTTGGCATTGGAAAAAATCGCCTGTAATCGATCAATGGTGTATATATACAATTTTTTGGGAAATTTTCTTTCATTCTTATCAGCATTCCATTTCACAAATGAATATGAAAAAAGCGCAGTTGTCATCGCGTGAAATCTACAGAGAAAAAAGGGGTCAAAGGACTCACGGAAACATGCGGCACGTTTACCATAAATTACCGGAAAGTTTTTATTGTCCCACGAAAAATAGACTAGAGATTGTGATTGATGCATTGATGCCAACCCTCGTCCATTCGTTCACGTTTTACCAAACATCCACTCGATTTCCATCATGTTGCAGAGAGAGAAAATTGCAACACACCACTAGGTCCACTGCGTCCCTGGCTGACAAACCGTAACGCGTGTACCTCAATTTTACAGATTTCAATCAGAAAAATTGCAGAATCCATATACAGGCTGTACCAAATTTCATGCAAGATAGGGCCGCGTTCGGGAGGCATCAAAGATCACGAAAATCATCTTGTACGGAAGTTTTTACATTTTAAATCGAAACAGATGAAACTTGACCAGAACCAATAGGAATGCTAAGCACATAAAAACTCTGAGCTTTCTTCCTTTGCCTTTGTTTCTCGACGGCATCGACGACTGACAGAGAATATCCAAAATAATGAAAAAGATCAATAAATTCGTGATTAAAAGTTTGCAAAAAAAAATTACAACAATCACACTTTACGCGCTCTCGTTTTTTTACGTCGAGTCAATTTTCATTTTTCTTACACGCTTCTTCACTTTCAACGAACATTTAAAGTAAGACAAGACCAGAGAGTTTTTAAGTTTTCATTTGCCTCTGACTTCGTTCATTCGTTAAAAAAAAAAAAAAAAGAGAGAAGTAAAAGGGATCGCGATATGAAGTACTACGGAATCGAAATGAGAGAGGGTATAAGTAGGATATATACTCGAGTAAAAATAATTAGGCAATTTCTCGAGAGTCTTTGTAGAAGTTTTAAGGCGAGCTCTACTCTCAATGGCGTGTAACCCTCGGGGTAAGCAGTAGAAATAAGGGCGAGCCATAACAAAAGCAGGACAATGAGAATCAACCCTCGGTATATATACGTACTACTAAATTTCGAAACGAAGAGCGTATAAATTTCAAGCCCCTTAATTCCAGAATGCAACGGCAGCACTGGGAGATAACTCGAAATCCGAGTTTATTGAATGAACTCGATACAAAAGTGCGCAAACAATAACGTATCCCATAACGATATATAGTATATACAGTATCCGCTCTACCGCAGTCATCTATACTCTCATTCATATAAATATATCATAGAAGAAAAAAAATATCCACGTAACACTGTACCCATAGTACGAGAGGAAAATTTCTTTTTTGCGACGTCACGCGATTCCCTGTAATTAATGTTCTGCTTGGTAGCGAGCATGAAATTGTGTGAGGCTACATAAGACCGCGATGTTCGTTCTTCTGAAAGTTAATGTCGAGACGGCAGAGCAAGAGGGAGAGATAGATAGGTGAGTGAGTGAGTGAGAGAGAGAGAGAGAGAGAGAGAGAGAGAAATGAGAAAAAAAAATAAATGAGCCAACCTTACGAGTGACTACTGAATTTTTAATGAATCTTGACTAAGAGATAAGTTTATGTCGCGAGTTGATCCCATCGCGTACAAGAACTCTTGCGAGGAACGAACAACCCTTAGTCAAAGTTCAGTGGACGCCATTGTTCACCACTGTGAAGATGCTGAATAAGGTTTTCGCTTGCTTTACTTAAAACAGTCTACTACTATACTTACTGTCGAGTGAAGTGGTCGTATTTACCAGGAGCAAGTCATTCGGCGAAATTTATCCCAGGGCAGATATAACCCCTTGCATGTATAGAAGGTAAAGGTATAAGTCGATACATAAGTCACCCTTGTGTAAGGGAAGGTATTTCTGGTAAAGTGAAAAGCAATGCTGGAATCACCT